GGGGTGGTGGGAGCTGGGGGGATGGGGGAGGTTCTTACATACCTTCAGATCAAGTTCCAGCAATCCTCTGGATGTAAAATTGTTCTCGGGGAAATTGCCTGAAAACAAAGTTTTAAAAGAATTAGAATCCTCTGTGAGTTCCAAGGTCCAAGAAAGCTCTCATATGCGCGGGAAGAGAACTCAAGACTTGCTGGCCGTGAAAATGAAAACTGGATCTCCTGGTCTGGGTAGTTGATATTAATTTCCTGCTGATGTCATCATTGCCTCTCTGCCTTTTTCCCTCCCCTCTCCCTGGTTTAAGATAACACTGACAAACAGCGTCTCCTGAAGGCAAATTCATAACTTCCTTTCTCACTATCAAGCTCAGGATTTTCCCAAGGAAAGAAAAAAGCTCCTAGAAAAGAACTCATGGAAGCCACTAAGTGCTGCAGCCTTTCCTTTGAGTCACGGTCACTTTGGTAAGTGACAATTTTCTCAACCATCTCTTTCCCTAAACTCACTTAACCTTTAAAATAAAACCAAAAACCTCATGAAACAGTAGTCAGTCATCTCAACCCTGTCCTAAGTAAGCCCATGTGCAAGTAAACAAAACCTTTAAAAGACAAAAAAAGTGGGGATGATAGATTATAAGCCCGCTGGGAGGTACTTGCAAGGGACTCAACCAATTAATGGTAAACAACACTGACAGTGTCTGTTCTCACAGCACATTCAACCCAGCAGTAAAGAGAGACTTTGAAAACATTATTTCTAATAATATAAACAATACTAAATACTTATATTGAATGTGCCAGGCACAGGGTTTTTACAAATATTTACTTATTTCATCATTCCAACAACCCTCTAAGATAAATACTATTACTATGACCTCTGCTTTAAAAAGTGAAAAGTAAGGCACAGAAAGGCTAGGTAATTTGCCCAAGGTCACACAGTGAGCTAGTAGGAAAGCCGAGATTTAAACCAGCAAATTTGGCTGTAAGTCACTACACTGTAATTAAGCTAACTCAAATGTGTAGAGCTCTGGGAAGAGGTACAGTGTCTTAGAGAGATGTTTTATCTCTGGGGAAAAAGCAAGGTTTATGATGCTTTGATTAGCGAATGTGCTAGAGTGCCATTTCCACATCCTAGGCATCTCCAGAGAACTTGTGCGTGTAAGGAAGACAAGCCCTCGCAGTGATTGTTGCACAGAGATGTGAAGTACTTAATGCCACTGACCTGTACACTTAAAAATAGTTAAAATAGCAAATTTTATGTTATGTATAGTCTACCACAATTTTTTTTTTTTTTTTTGTCCTTTTTTGAGACCGGCCGCATGGCGCTCAGCCAGTGAGCGCACCGGCCATCCCTATATAGAATCCGAACCCGCGGTGGGAGTGCTGCTGCGCTCCCAGCGCCGCACGCTCCCGAGTGCGCCACGGGCTTGGCCCTACCACAATTTTTTTAAAAAGATAAAGAAAGACAAGCAACTCTTGATCTTCTATTCAGTTCATTTATAAATATTTCATTTCTTGGGCCATTTGGGGAGGCAATTTGGTGTAACTATCCCTTCTCTATCACCCTGTTCATGAATCATATTAACTCTTTCAACTTTTATTTAATAATATTAAATATTTAGAAGGATTTCCTGTGTCTGAAGCACTGAATTGGGCACAATTGGAAAGCAGAAATGAATAAAGTATAGTGCCTGCTGTTGACCTAAAAAGAAACTGAGGCCAAATAAATATAGCAAGGATTTATTGAGCCAATATGATGATTTGCAACTGGGGCATAGTCAGGACATCCTTAGAAATGTTAAGAGGGCCACAAGAGCTTAGCATTTTATAATCCCAAGAAGGGGAAAGGGTCAAAGGAGAGAGAGAGAAAGACAGCCCACCTAATTACTTCTTCAAGTTTTTTATTGCTTGTACATGGCACATATATTTAGGATTGTTACTAGTTACATAGGGTTACAAGAAGCATTGTTAATTATTTTATGGCTTTCTGATATCATTAGTCTCCCTGTAGGTAAAAACAGACTTACAATAACATTTTCCAGGATAGGTAGACATGACTACTGACTTATCCCAAATCTCCAAAGGCACTATAATTTAGCTGACACGGTCAGAGCAGATTTTTTTTTTTTTATCATTTCCCCTCTTTTGATCAAAAAGCTTTCATCTGAAAGCATTGATGATCAACTCAGACATTTTGGTCCCTCATCTCTGGTAAAGCTCATTCCTAGAAAGTCATGTCCCACAAAGGGGGGGAAGAAATTAGGTACTGCCTTTTAGGTCTAAATCTGGATTTTAAGCAACATGGGAGTTGGGATGGGATGGTAGACAGACTCATTAATTCTTGGCAAACCTGAAGAAATAGATAGTGGCATTTGTCTCATATCTGACAGGAGGATAAGTTGTGCCCTTGGACAAAAGAAAGTGCTCATTGTAGAAACAGGTTGAAAAGCAGCAAGAGAAAAAACTAAGGTCACTTTTACAACTTAAACTAGGTAGTAAGTTTAACTTGGCATAGACATGGGAAAACGAATATTAAAGCAAGAGTTTAACTTTGTAAGTAATCTTGAGGCATATGGCTTGTTTACATGTGAGCTAAGAGATAAGACCCACAGTCTGACAAAACTTAAGACTAGAACTCCCCAGAGTCAAAGTCCAAATGTGTTAGCAACAGTGATCATGGAGCTGTCATCAGGTCAGGTCTGAAATCTTATGCTGTCTATTCAGATGCCATCTTCTCATCCTGGCTGGAAGATTGAGGCATTTGGCTACTGGTTAGCTTCCACTGAAGATCTCCAGTGATGGAAGAGGTCTACCCTGTTGGATTTGTCTTTTATAAAAATGGGAAATGTGAATCCATGAGTCAGTGTCTTTAAGCTTAGCTGTGTAGGGATTGGTTAACGATACCTGACTTGGTCTCTTTCAACATGGCAAAAGGGAATCCTTTTATTTGATGACGTTTTTAATAAACAAAGTCTCTGGGTTGGAGACCATGGTCTTTGATGTCTTTGTCTCCCTGGAGCTCCCTGTGGAAGGAATCCGTTACTAAATTAATATTTTGGGTGAGGAACTTTATAAGGCCTTGGAAGTAATGAAGAATATCACCTTTTAGAAGAGCTGATTCAGGGGCCGGCCCGGTGGCGCACTGCTACAGTGCCCCACTTGGGAAGCGCGGCAGCATTCCCGCCGAGGGTTCGGATCCCACATACAGACCGGTTCCCGCTCACTGGCTGAGCGAGGTGTGGGGGCAACACCGAGGGTTGCGATCCTGTTGCCGGTCCCGGTACAGTACGGGTGCGACACTGAGGGTTGGGATCCGTTGCCGGTCACGAAAAAAAACAAAAAAAAAAAAAAAAAAAAAAAAGAAGAGCTGATTCATAGAGTCATTCATCAGGTGCAGAGGTCCACCCACTATTATTTCAAAGGGAGAAAACTGATGCTTTCCAAATGGGGTAGAATGCAAGTTAAGCAAGACCAGTGGAAGAGCCTTTGGCCATATATTGCAAATGGACCAAATTATTTGACCAGTGAAACATATTTCTCAATCATTGTGCAGCCCAGGGGAAGAGATATTTGTTAAAATTCAGGATTTAATTTAGACAATAAAAACTCAAAAACAATGGACAGGGTTAGAATTTAATAAGTTCAGTATAGCTTTCTTCTGAAATATAATTTTTCTCTCTTCAGTTCCCCTTTCTACCAAAGATATTTATGACAAGACTAATTCATTTGTAAAATAAGTTTAGTCTCTGGCCTGATTATTTGCACGAAGTACAGCAAGAATAGTGATTTATCATATAGACTCTTCATAAATTGGCTTTGCTGGGACTTTTATAAGGAATCTTAGATTAGACCTTTAAAACCCTCTCGAGGTTTAGGAAGCCAAGCCAAGCACTTGACTCACTCTCAGACTGCACCTGTATGAATTAGGCCCTCTCTTCCAGAGGTTCCCAAAATGTAGAGGTTCCTGGGCCTGTCAGAAAGTGGCATTATTTGTTTACTGCAAGGCCAGGAACCTTATAAGAGTATAGACACAGCACCAGGACAGTCTTTTTTACCAAAGCTTTGGTAAAATAAGCGGTTTCCAAATTTTGTCCTGTTACAAGAACAGATTCTTTCTTATTGAACTTATGCAAATAACTCTATTGCCACAAAATGGGAATACTCATGAGTAGTTTTAAAATCTTGGAGGGATCAAGTAGAGAGAAAAGTAAATGTTTCAATTTTGCTCATAAAAGTATACTTTAAATAACCCAAAGAGAAAAAAAATTTTTTCTTAAATCCAGAAAACAAAACATAAAAAGAATCAACAGTGTTTCAAACAAAAAGTAGTTAAAAGACCATTTCAATCCTTTATCAGTTCAGTCCCATGTAATTAATTCTTGTTCTGCTTGATTGGGTTAGCAATTTTATGAGTCTAATTTTTTTTATTGGAGTTTTGAAGTTTTTTACCTCGTTGGATTGATAATGTCAAAATCATAAACAGAGGTCTGTATTTCGGAGTAACCGTTAGAGTCTTTTTGTCTTTTTTAGGAACTTCTTTGAAGATACAACACTTTAGGATTATAGTCGCTTGTAAAGATCTTTTAGAAGAAGCATCAGAATAGGACAATTTACTGTAGACAGTCAAATGATTATGATTCAAGATGTGACTGACAAAGAAATTTGGTTATTTCTATGGCCTACAACAATTTTCCATAATAGCCATAATTTTGACTGATAACATATACCAGGACATATCAGAATTTAAGGAATTTTATACAATTTTGGGACTCATATTGATAGCACATTCACACAAATATAAAATTATATATTTTGGGGAAAAAAACTTGAAGTTTTTTTTTCAACTGGCTGGTTCTAAAATTATTTATATTTTTTATTTTATTATTATTATTATTTTTTACTGTTCCAGTCAACCAAAGGGAAACTTTATTGAGGTCTCAGGACTATGGTGAGGAAAGGAGGAGCAGAGGGGGGGCCTTATTTGACCTTCTTGGGGCACAGGTTGTTGGTGTGGCCACATTCCTTGTGGCAGTTGACAGCACGGGGTGCCAGCGAGCATGACATTTGCTCATCATCTTGTGGCAGTTGTACTTCTGGGCGAGCTGGCAGAGGGGAGGCTCAATGATGCCCT